ATAATTCTCCAGCTAAAAATGACACTCTTGATAAGTGGGCAATGTGACATGGTGTTTAATGCATTTTACAGGCAAAGAGAAACTACAGTTCATAATGAATTAATGAAAATGGGATGTTCTGACATCTGTCTTGTTCACTCGGACGTGCTACGCAGGTTCGTTCGTAAATGCAATTTTATGCTGCCGTAAACCCCATTGAGGAATAAATTGCTTTTTTGTTTAGTGTTAATTTATCTCATTCTATATTCTTGATCCCAAGAGATTATAGGGTGGCTTCTCCTGCTGTAAGAAACGTGCACTGGTGTAAAGAGGAAGTGAATCCTACGGGATGTGAATCCGAACACAGGTCATGGATGTCATGGTGCATCAGAACCTGACCAGCTTACTCCAGGTGCATCATTCTTTGACTGGTCTGGATTGTGATGTGTTTCTGTAGGATAACTGCCAATGCACGCATATCGAAGAGCAGGAGAAGAATCACACGCAAGAAGAACATTTTCACCCCACCTGACTCGTTTGGCAGTTAGGAGCTCGTAGATCTCAAAGCCTCATCTGGCTGCTTGATAGATATATACTGTATGCATGATGACTATGCGGTGCAGTTTCATGAGCTTGCCCCTGACTCAGGAGAGTGTGCTCTTTAAAACAATATTTCAAGAATTGGAAGGGGAAAAACAAAGGCCTCGTATTCCACAGAAGTGATCTCTCCAGTTGGATGACAGTGCTTTTTCGCACATGTACTGTAAGAAGGGGTAAGATGCTGTTTAGTTGGTCTCTTTTTTTTTCTTGCTTTCCATACCCAGTTAAAAAAAATCTGGAACAAAGGCAGGTAAGGCTTTTTTTAGCTCAAAAGTTAATGCGTCTTGAAAGTCGTAAGGGCGTTAGATGTGGATTATATTTTTTTTAAAAAATGCCCTTAAGAAAAATGAAGTGGGAGCAGAAGTTTCCGCGGAGGAAAGGGAAACCTTGAGAGCAAGCTAACTACATGGAGACAATGCGAGGGCACCTGGGAGCGAATTCTTGGAATGAAAAAATGAAATGGCAGACATTCAAAATGCTTTAAGATTTTTTTCTGTTTTAAATCTTTTTTTAAGCAATGATTATACTGGAGAGGGCAGCCAATTTTGTTTTTCTTTTCTTGTACTTATTATAGCCTTCCAAGAGAAAAGGTTAATACTAATAATGCAAAAGTACCAATTGGCTTGGTTTGTGCTCCTTTCGTGTTTTAGTTTTCACAGAATACGCCTTTTTTTTTCCCAGAAAATGGGACGTGTGTGGTTCTCTTGCATGAGACTGGGAGACTCGCAGGGTGATGAGAAGTCCTCAAAAAGAGCTGCAGCTCGTTTGACAGCTTTGGACTTGGGTAGCTTATGCTATCCCCTACGATTAAGTCCAGCTAATGTTTGGGAACTTAATACGGTGGCCTTAGGCTGTTAACTAAAGGGCTCTGTCAGGGATCTAAATTGGTATATTTTGATAGTGCATCTGGACCTAAATTTCCATCTGAAACGAAATAAAATCCACTGCAGGTGCGAGAACATGCAGTAAGTGAATGCAGAAAGAAAGAGGAGAGAGTGTGGTATTTAGAGGGACGAAGATGGAATAGGCGGCGGTTGTTCTGCCTGCGGTGGCTTGTTTATTCTCCCCAGATACAATCCTGAACCTCACTGCTCTGGTACCTAACCGGCTTATTAAAGCTGGTGGTACTATCTGATCTCGGCAAGGTTATAAAACAGATCCTGTCTAATAATCCAGTCATGAAAAACGGCGGGGCTGTCGTAGGGTTGCCAAGCCCTGAATGTAAATTTCTACAGAAGAGAACAGAAATACAGCCCCTTGTACAATTGATGAGTGAGTCTGTTCTTGCCTTGACAGGCAGTTATAAATATCTCCTCCTGTGGCCAAGTGTGCCTCTACCTCTGCTTGACTGCATTGATTCTGTTTTGTTGTGCTGTGTTCAAGCACATGTTTAGCAATACAAACTGCTGTTGTTTAATTGTGCATTAATCTGCCCCACCTCCTACAACCTCAAAGTCTCTAACTCACTGCAATACATCTTGTGCAGCGACTTTACACCATACTGTGAGGTGGCCAGATAGTTCATTGATCATCTGTGACAGAAGGAGTTTTTAAAGTTGTCCCAAAACTGAATTTCATAAACTATTAAATTTAAGCATAAAGTGCTAAACATTACTGAAACCTACTGCCTTACACGTTGGAGCCTTGCAACCACTGAACCACTCAAACCCAAATGTCTGCTGTATGTCTGTTAAAGAACTTTTCTTATGTTTTGGCCTTGCACTCTATATTTTTAAGGAATGCTTTCTTTTGAAGATTTTGTATTGCTCTTTAGACAAACGAAATAAAGCTGGTTATTTCTAAAGTTTTTCAGGATTGCTGCTCATTATCCCATCAGCAGTGGACAGACATGCCCTGGGTAGAATCTGCAGCTGATGCAGGTGGACTGAAAGTGTTTCCCACAGTTTCCCTGACGACTGATGCCTCAGGGACAGTGTCTGCTGGGTGTCCCTTGTCTTCAAGTCTCCCACTTTAAAACTCTCAATCGGCCTAGCCCCTCACCAGACGTCTCTAGGACACAACCTCATTTCCTGGGTGGGGGGAAGGGGGCGGAGGCGTTGTGCAGGGGTATGACCTAGACCAAAGGAACCACATCTGGTTGCATTGAACGTCTTTCTGTGTTTGATATCTTTCTAGAAACTTTTATTTCAATCAACGTGCGTCTTCATGTTTGCTACGAAGTTCACCAGGTACAGGGGAAATGCTCAGAAGTCAGGGGGTCCGGCAGGGGGTTTCGGGATTAGCTCTGTGCCGGTTGTGCCATGGGGGCTTAGCTTTTACACGCTGTGCAGAGACACCAGTGGGAGGGGGTTTGATTTTGGGCGTGACTGTGATAGGGAAGGTGGGTTTGAAAGCCCTTTGGCCCACCTTGCTCGTTCGTCTGGTAGTTAGAAGGTAATTGATCCAGGAATCTCATGCAGCCGGGATCTCATCCAGCTGACCAGTGATAGCACTCTCTCCCCCTGCAGTCCACTGCCCCCCTCCCGAGAAGATTATCATGCGACCCAATACCTAAGGTGAGTGGGGGGCAGTAAAATAGAAAATGACCAAGAGGAAGGTAAACATGTGATGTTGTGGAAAGTAAACATGAGAATTCAACGTACATGTTGATGGCAGTGTACAAGCATCGTAACTTACCGCATGGTGTGCTGTACCACGTAACTGCAAGGTAATGTGTTTGTTATTTGACCAGTCTGGTCCAGATACAGGATGTGGTGCTTGTAAAGTCAGTGTGCGTTTGAACAGTTTCGCAATGGCTTCTGCTGGTTGTCAGTCAACCTCAATGCTTATATGGGTGTTATCTGACATTAGTTCAATGATATTTTTCCAACTGTCTTGCCCGGAGAATCAGTATTGGGTATAAACCTGGTGGTCCTGATGAGCTTTGAAGTGGGAAACTCATGCTTCAGGAGTCTGCATTAGTAGATTGGGAGGTGGAGCTCTTTCCTCTCAATCAGAAAATCCAAATCAATGCCCAAGAGCAGGAGGTAATGCTTAATAGGACTGGAAATGATATCTTTTATACAGTATGACATGTTAAAACAAGGTCCCAACCAATGTTCCTAAAACAAAAACCAATACAGGCTAATGAAAATCTGGCTCTCTAATTTAATTTAGGTTTAATACAGTTTCTTTCTCTTATCTTCATTTGAGCCGTTCCAGTGCTCTGGCTGTGGTCCTGTGTGTGTTGTGACAAATTGGCTCTTGTGTACTCCCCAGAGGAGTCTGCTCCGTGCCATGTGATTGCTTCTTCAACTGGGGGCATTTATTGCGAAGAACTCTGTGATCCCGGGCTCTGATAAAAAACTCTCCATAAAGTGCAACTGCATTTGTTGGTAAATCCCCAATCTTCAGTTAGGACCCAAACCTCCCTATTGTGTTTGCTGGATTTATGTGTGTGCAGAGCTGAGATATGAGGCTGTGTTTTACTGCTATCTAGGTAGTAGCTCAGAAGCTGCTGTTAGGCAGATTTATGACAATATTATTGCGAATGTAAAAACCAAGAAATACAGCCATTTTCTCTATGGGGCAAAAGTACATCTATAACTGCAACTCACTCATGCATTAAAATAATTTGAAACTGCTTGCTAACATTATTTTTTAGTCCCTTTTTTCTTCTTTTAGTTTTCTTCAAACAGACCTGATCAGCATATATATATAATATGCTTGTTTCATCTGAATGTAGCTCTAGGTATGTGTCTTTCATGGCTCTCTGATTTTTTCTTTTAATCATTTTTGTTCAATTTACTTTTTTCTAAAGTTTTCTCAAAACATTTAGACGGGAGGTAAATGGACAAAAGCAAATAAAAGCAAAATTGTCTGTCTGCTCTCTGGAAGTGTGTTGTGGTGCAACAGTATTTTTCTTACCCATATTTGAGAATCCTTTTCAAAAGCTGTTGAACCTGGAGGTGCTGCTTTGTATTTCTTGTAAAAGGCAAAACAGAATCGGTTATAAAGTCGTACAGAACAGATTCAACAAGGCTTGGTTGTATTTAGTTGATCTAAGAATTCCATCAGTGTTTCTCTTAAAGGATCCTGGAGTCGGTTTCTACCACATCGCCAAGAAGTTCTTTCCTGTCTCCCACAGTCACCTACAGAAAAAGAAGTGCTTTTATGTTGACGCTCGTCTTGAAGTAGTGATTGATTTGACCTGGCCAATGCCTTTTGGGATTTTGAATACATTGAATCAAACCTTTACATCATCTTCTCACTTCGGGCACAAATAACTTAGTCTCTTTAATCTGTCTGAGGATGACAGATGGTATTGACTTGCTCTTAATATTAAGATTCACACCCACAGCCGCCCTCCAGCATTGAAAGGCTGGTGAGGTCCTGCCCCGTTTTCATTCTTCTGGCAGGCACGCTGTAACAGGGTCTCTCACTGGGTGGATGGGGACTGACTGCTGCGCTTTGTCCTGCAGGTTTTGGGTATGCTATGGCTACGGAGCAGGAGGAGCTCTTGGAGCCAAGGAGGATGAGGAGAGACCTCCGCTTCTTCACTCATCCAGACAGGACCAGAGCCAGCCGGGAACACCTTGGTGGCGGCCTAGCCATTGACACGCTGCCCGACAACATGACACGCGTAGTGGTGAGAAGAGGAGTGTGTGCTTGAGCAGAGGAGATGGGTGTGTGTGCGTGCGTGCGTGCGTGCGTGCGTGCGTGCGTGCGTGCGTGCGTGCGTATGTGTGTTTCTGTCACGGGCATTTTTCTGCAGAGAACGGCTGACTCTGCAGATCCATTAGGTCTGGACCAGGATGGTCCAACTCTTAGTCATGTAGGGCCTGTGTCTCTGCAGGATTTCCATGTAAGTGGTACAGCTCTGGTCTTGGAGGGCTGGTATTTTGGAAGTCTCTCTAATGCAACCGTGCCTAAAAAGCTGGGAGAAGTTGGTGAATTAGTCGAGCTAAGCCAATAACGAGGTGATTTAGGTCACTATGAGTTGAGTTGGAATGAAAACCTGTCGGCAAACTAGACATCCCAGATCTAGTCTGTGCTGTGGATGTGACAGTCTGCCAGTGTAGAGAGGATTCTGTTACCCAGAGCTGCTTGGATGATGAGTGAGAGTTATCTGTCTGAGAGTGGGACATTTCTTTGCGTGGGAAGCAGAGAAAACAAGTGTCTGTACATTGGCAACTGCTTATGAGGAAGCTGGGCAGTTTCTGTTTGCTGCCGTCTTTCTCTCTATCCTATTCTTTTCAGTTTTTTGCATTGCTTTCATCTGGTGCAACACCCGTTCATGAAAGCATGGTAAGCAAAGCAGAAGTAAATGAACAGGCTGTAAGAGAGTTAGGATTGTGCATCTCAGCAGAGTGGAGAGAAAAAAACTCATTAAACTACAGTATAGAAAACAACTTGATTATTACAGTGTAAATGTAATTACAAACTTTAATTATAAACAAGCGTAAATCTTGAGTGTTAGACTCACTGTGGCTTGACAGACAAAAAGTCCTAGTCTGCCAGCAGGAACAGCATTGCTCCCCCTGGTTCTCAACACACTGTAGATTCACCTTGCTGTGCTCCCAGCATGCATGTGCCAATTAAATGCACATTACTCACTACTAATTGCCAGCAGTATACTTACTGCCTTAATTAAATGCTTAAATTATGGACATTTCATGTATCCTGGCCAGCGCAGTCAACATAGAGGGATAAGAATGCTACCAGGTGAAAGTACAAGCTTCCTGAAATGTGTGCCAATACTAGACTTGCGAGCTTAATGCTGTTCTCATATTAAACAGTGTCAATGTAGACCAAAAGTCTCAAACACAGCAACTCAGTTGCCGGAGGGTCTAATGTCTTCTAGTTTTTGATGCAACCATGTTATCATGTACATACGGGGCCTAATTTTTTAATTAAATGCATAATTGGAATAGTTCTAACCAGACTCCAAGGTGTTTTCTACAGTAGGTAATTATACTTTTAAAGAATTGGGTGTCATGTGTTATCAGCTATAAAATTCCAATCTACAAAACAAAAAGCCAAAACTCAAAATCATAAATGTATTATATTATTTATTATGAGCTGGACATACAGCAAAATGTATATGTGTTATGGTAGTTCATTTTTCTATGTGTCGTATTCTAGCAAAATAAAAAAACACAAGGAGGCAGATTGCCTGAACATTTGGCGTGTATTGTGAACATCAGTACCTCTGTTTACAATCCTCAAGTTTTAAGTGTGAAATGATTGTGTAAAACTAAAATTTCTCCCAGCTAATCTGTGACTTAGCCACTGATGGCCAAAATTGTGCTAGACGTGGCTTGTGCTTATTACAGTTCTCAGTTCATTAAGTCAGTGCAAGTGTTTAACAGCAGTCTGTTTTCAATGCATTCAATTACACTAAGGTAATGGGGCAGTGCAGATATTACTTTTTTTTTTTAAAGGTGACCCCTTTAAGACACTGTACCATCTGTGCATGGCAGAATGGAAGCCAATTTTGGACGTAAAGTGCATGTGATGAAAAACATTGCTGTAAAGATAAAGATCTGGTTATTCTTGCATGGGTTTTTTTTTACATAAAAGGAAATTGCCCTATTTGGTCTAGCTCTGCTCTACAACTCTGATAAGTTCCTATTCAAGACCGTTAGTAAAAATAAGTGGAGTGGTGCTAACCGGACAAAACCCAACAGTACACAAGTTGTAAGATTCATCTGCACTCTTTGTAGAAACTCTTATTTCTCATCTGATAGTAGGTAAAAAAAATCCTTTTTACAAGCACTTGATACCATTGTTGAGGTTTATTTAGTGGTCCATTTGTCTATCTTAAATAACAACTTATGTGCTAGTTTCATTTTTATCCTCATTGGAAAAATCTGTGGTCTAATTTCATTTGAAACAGTGTTTTGAATACTCATAGTGGTTAAATGGATTGAATAAAAACTGCAATAAATAAAAAAAAAATCACTTCTGTGGGACACTGTTTTCATGCACTGATGGTGAACTGTGTGTGACTGCAGAAATCCATTGCAAATGAGTACTTTGGCCACGTGTCCAGTGTTGAAATGCTCTGATTAATGAAGAAATGGGGTATAGCAATGTTTCCACACGTCAGCTCGCAGTGTGTGACTGGCAGGTCTGGTGTCTAAGCTGGGGCCCAGCAGGGCTCTGATCTAATCCCTCCCGCTGATATCAATTACTGGGGAGAGGAAAACAAAACCAGGCCCATGGATGGGAGTCAAACTGGAGCTTTGATAGCCGACACTACCCTCAGCCCTCTGACTCACCCTGCCTGGCTGGCTGCCTCCATTGATTGCCACAGTGAAGCACTCGTGCACACCGTCACAGACATTCACATGATCGCCTGTGTGCATGAACCAGTACGAAAGTACACACAGCCAACTCTCTTACATGTACACTGCAGCGCATATGAACAACACAAGCATGCAGTTCTCCTTCACACACACATCAATTCACAATGCATGTGCAAAATACAAGTACAGGGGCAAACTAATGACATAAGCATCCGTTTACGCAAACAAACATATATTGACAGTTGTACGTTAATTCTACAAAGCAGGCACTTCTGCCTACTTTATTGGACAGCAGGAGGAAGCTCCTTTAAAACACATTCTGATGACATTCATCCCTTCGTTCGGAATATGCTACACTGGAAACAACAATTGTGAAGCACCTGACAAATTACAAATTTTGATAATTTGATTCTCAAATGACAACTAAACGGCTCTGTACTTTTGCAAAACCATGTTGTCTGTAGTTATACAAGCGTGTAACATTTGTGGTAAGAGCTACATACATTTTCTTTACTGAACCCCTAAGACAGCTCAGACAGTGGCCAACTTTTAAACGGACAACGAGAGCTGCTATTGCAGCACAAAAGTCATTTATTACTTTTTCCATTTTTCAGAGGTACCTGCTAACACTAAATCATAGGACTCGTGAAGACAGACAGTTGTTCCAAGAAACACAGTGAAGGGAAATAAACAAAGAAACACAGTGAAAACGGTAACTCAGACATAACGATTTGTTTGTTCTGTATCTGGCCTCTGATTTCTGTGAGGTCACATGGTCTCATCAGCACTGGATCAAATATTCTCCCTCGCAGTACGTCTCAAAACGAGCCGTCTTGTAGGACGAAATTGTTCTTGACAGGTGTCAGTGGTAATGGTCTGAGAGGTAGCATTCATTTACCCATGAGCTGTGTCATCCGGTCATCAGCATGATGGTCATGCACCTTCATTATCCGGACAGAGAAAAACTCCACATGCACAGGTTTCAGGAAAGGACGGAGTGGTGAGAGGAACACTAATGAGAGATGCGTATGAGCTTCACAACTGAAGTTGACAGAAGGTAACATTGTCCCAAATTACAACACCGTTTGTCAGATCTGGCCCCACCAGTAGTTCTCTTGAGAAGTAGATGTGCAATAGTTACAAGGCCATGACATGAAAAAATACAAACAGGCATGCTGGTGTTGTATTCGACACTGGTGGAGAAATGGAAAGCAAAACCATTCCTTTATATTCCTCCTGCATCTCTTTAGTTTGGTCAGAATGAAACCAGCTTCATACATATGCAGTATTTCCTATTTTCTGTACAACAAAACTGTATCTCTCATAATATAAAGTAAAGATATCCGTATACATCATATGGTTATATACAGGTGATTGTAATGCATGCAGACGGACTTATTTATCCATTCTGGCTCCTCATCTTCTTTATCTTATCAGTGTTTCTTTAATAAGGCTTGCTGTACACCTGCTATTGTTATAAGCCACCATATCCTCTATAGCAGCTTCCTGTTGAGCTGTACAGATTATCACTTGGTCACCAGTTCTGTAGGTGAATAGAATTTTGTCAGCTAAGAATGCAGGAATTGAATGACACTAAAACTGCACTTGCAACTACACTGTAACAGAATTCAGAGATTAGATCTATGATTATTTATGCATTCTCATTCCCACAAGTGAATTTGAATGATTGCTGTCTTGGTGGGTTTGCTCAAAATAAGCTGTAACCTCTGCTGAACGTCTGTCATTGTCGTTAGACTATAGTTTGTCACGCGGTCGACTATTGCTGACTGCAGCACGTTTGATGGATTACAAGTGCACGTTCCCCTTTGGTGTTCAATCCTCCCACCACTCTTGCAGACACCCATGTCTTTCATGATCTCCTTCCCTGATGTGCTTCATTTCTCTGCAGCAACTGGGAATCCGCCTTTTGGCCTCTTTTATTTATGATTAAGATCTAATGGGTGATTAAACCCATCGTTTTCAATTTGCGTCATGTGAGGTATATAATCGTGGAATTGATTGCATTTTCCTGCTGCAAACAAAAAACTTTGATTGTTATTAACAGACTCCATTACATTCTGTGCCAAATGTTAAGACTTTGACAAAGAGTGTTTTGCAAAAACTTTTTTTTAAGGTTTGCAAGACTTGAATGAAAAGCACCATAAATGACTTAAATAAAAACTACAGGAACCCAATGCCATTTTTTCTGCGTAGGAGTGGATATTGATGTCTTTGACCACAGTTACATTAACATTGATTTAGCATTTTAGAAAAAAAATAAAAAATATCCAAGGAACTGTAAATAATCCCTTTGACAAACAGTTGCCTGTGTTTGCTCTAAACGTTGGGGCCCCTTGTTTAGTGTCTTTTTGTTTTTGAGTTATGGAATCCGTGTAACCCTGTTATAAAGCATTGGCACTTGGAACTATTATTTCTGAAAATTATGAGTGGATAGTAGATTTCTTAGCAGCTGTTCCGAGTTTTGGTTGTGAAAAATATTAAATGGGAAGCCTTTTTTTTACCGAGCCATTTGCAGCGAAGCCCATAACTTTCAGTAAGAGATAATCTCCCCGATGATCTTCATTGCTCTGGAGTCCTCAACTTTAAGTCAGTCGTCCACTCTGCCTCTCTTCCTCCAAAGCATCTTGGCTCCCTCAGCTCCAGCAACTGTGTCATATTCCTAAACAGAGTCAGTGAAACTCTGAAATGTGCTTTCAGTGTAAAACCACAGCGTTGTCCTCTGGTTCCCTTGGCCACGGTGTGCCCCCCCTGCTCCCTGTAGCCACACTCATTCTCTCCTTCCTCCCCTTCAGTGATTGGTAAGCCATCTCAGCCTACTGCTTTCCCAGCATTGCATGTACTGTACAGTGATTCAGGGGAGGGAGGAGTGTATTGTACGTTCTTAAATTAAAACCTGCTGTGGGTCTTAAATTGAATTAACTGAACAAACATGTCTTGTTTTATACCAGGTGGTTATAAAATTCATTCTGTCTCAATAGAAGTGCGTCTGTTCGGGCATATCCCGTATTGCGTACATGGGTAATTTTAATTTTCTTGTTCTAATACATTACAGATTGAAAACAGATTTGCATTGGCCCTGTCATTTCAGCCCGTTGTTTTTTTTGTTTAATCCAGTGTACTGTATGTGTAGGCAGGGGATCTGGGAAGTAATTGCTTTCCTCCTAAGTGCCTTGCATTGATATCCATGCTCTAATCTTCTTTCGATCAATGTGTAGCATCTTTCCTTGCAATATGAGGTTAACAGGTTAACAGTGCAGCATGGTCCCCAGCCAGTCCAGTAACATGTTAGATGAGCACATTGCATAGTATAAACCACACATGCCTTCCCTGCAGCCCAGTGTCTGCTGGTTTTCATTCCAGTTGAGCTCTCAGGCTCTTCATTGAACCCATAATTGAATTAACATTATTATTCATTTATCCGGCATATGCTCTTCTCCAAGGCAACTTACAAATGCCTTTTTTATATATATACAGATATTGGTAATAGCTTTAACAGCCGTGTCTCACTGGGGCCCTGGGAGGTCAGCTGATATGAAACCAAAGGACACAGGTGCTATGAAAAGTGGGGGAAGGAGGCCCTGTCTCAGATTAAGGAAACAGCTCCAGCTTTGAAAGAGGTGTTCTCAAGCGATAATCTGGATATCCCTTGGTCAGGCAGAGAATGTGTGTCATACAAAGAGAAACCAGAGCAGTTAAAGTCTTCGAACTACCATAAACTGCTCCACTTAACAGAGCTACCTCCCACATACCATTCTTCACTGTCACCTCGAACTGAACAAGATATTAATAATGCATTTTATTTCTCTACACTTCCCCATGCTGGTGGCTCAATGTGCCATCAGAGGAGGAACAGGCCTAAAATAACTGAAAGCTTTACGTTTTAGCTTTCTGTGGGTGTGTGCTTTTCTGCCTCTGACATATTTGTTGTTGACGGTGTCTCTAAATGATGTGCTAACAGCCCCTCTGTATGTTTCTGTGTGATAGGAGGACTCCCAGCGGTATTACTCATGGCGCAGTTTCGGCCCCGGAGACCCCCACACGGCCGAGCTCTGGGTTGACATGACCTTGCCGGAGCACAGCCAAGTGCGAGTCCATGGCATCCTGTCCAACACGCACCGCCAGGCAGCGGTGAGCACGCGGGCCTGCGCGAGTGACGCCGCGGCGGAACACCGACACGCCGCGCACAAACCGCCGGCGGACAGAGCACCAGCATCAGTACAGCCGAGAACAGTTCTCAGTGCAACACCTGCGCACGGGTGTGCACACCTGCGTATACCACAGCACCTGCACCTGAGACATCAAACAGGCTAAGCACATGGGACACACAGCACATCTGTGGTGGTTGCAGGAGTTTCAGTCTTTGGCAGCGTGCTTGGCGAGCAAGATGCATGAAGGGGGAACGTGTCACACCGACTAGACACAACCTGTTTGTATACCCACACAGCGATGTAACACTTTTTTTCTCTCTCCTTTCCTCTCCCTCTTCTGCTTTCCAGCGTGTGGCCTTGTCCTTTGATTTCCCCTTCTATGGACACTATCTGAGGCAGATTACCATAGCAACTGGAGGTGAGCTGTTGCACAGGGATGTGACGAAATGTACCGCACAGTAATGGTGGCTGTGGTTTGACATTTCAGAGTAGAAAAGGTTAATGCCCAACAAGAAAAACTCAGAATACCTCTCAGTACGTTTTTAGGAGTAAGATAATATGAGCTGTGCTTGAAATGTATTTATCTAAATTTTCTTGTTTAGTTTTTCTTTTTTCTCGTTTAAAGTAAACAGGATATATTAGTTTCTCTTAGTCTGGTAATTTGTTTTTTATGGGTTCAGCCTAGTGTGAGTTAAAAACTTGGTGTATATTTCAAGAAGTCCTGTTTCTGCGCTTCTTGCTGATTGAAATTATAGAACTATTAATCATCCATGCCTCTTCTCTGTGGCGTGCGTGCCTGAGTCAGCCGCGATTTCAAATGCTTAGCTTTTTTACTTTTGTTTTCTTTTTTCGTGACTGATTGTATTCAGGATTATTTGCATTTAACTGTGGAGTAATGGAACCCAGAGCAATTTTTTGGCTGTGTTGGATTTTGATTTTTGATATTGTGTTTTTAAACCACCAAAATACCAGAGCCCCGCCTCCTATTATCAGCTAATTAAACTTAATATTCAGTCATGATCACCAGACACAGTGTGCTATAAAACCACAGCTTGGCTTTGGTGTTGAACCCATGTGTGCACGTGTTGTTCATTCCATCAGGGCTGGATAAACAGCAGAGCAGATTGTGTCCAATGTGGAGCCCCTAATGAGGCTGGAAAGCTTTCTTACAGAACAAACACCCTGTTCTCAATCCTTCCAGCTCGTTCAAAAGTACCTGGCTGTCAGTGCACTGACCAGGACCCCTATACCCACAGAAAACAATTTAATTCTTGAGCATGATTTCAGTCCAGCATGCAAGCGCTGCACTGCAGTGTTGTAAGTGGTGTCAGTATTTTTGTAAGCCTACTGTGTAAAGGAATGTGTATTACATTTGAAACACCTCAATTTGAATATGTGCAGTGTGCAAATAACCTGATAGAGTGTCCACACTCTAAGTGTTTATCTAACAGAATTGTACCTAATGATCATTTTAAATACGAACTGATGGAAACTTGTTCCCTCCCTTTTCCAGTTTTTTTTTTTTCCGATGTGCATTACATTTAATTTTGTTCAAATTTTCCATGTCTTGAGTCACAATAAGAAACAATATTGTGTATAGTTTTACATTCAACACACTTTAAATGTTTCTTAAACCCTAGGAACTATTACAGTGAAGGCATTCCTCCACTCGATTCACTTATTTACAGCAATAATCTTTCTTAGTGGACAATCTAATGTGGTTGATTCAGAAACAATGGCGAATACATAAAGAATGTATTGACTTTGTGCTATGTAATCCCTTAACATGCACATGGAAGTACTTGCTCCTAAGCCTATCAATAGCAATAAACCATTGTGCATCCCGGTGGAGATTTGTGTGGTTAAATTCCTTCACCTTTCTTGAGGGATCTTTTAACACAGAAGTGTTTGTACACCAATATCCTTCACAGGGAAATCAGAAGTGGAAGCCAAGTCTGTGCTGAAGGCCTCTCGGGAGGGTAAAGCAGGTCTCTCCCTCTCCAGTGCCAATTGGTCTGATCAGGCCTCAGCTGAGCTACTTCAACCTTCTTTGTTACAACTAAAAGAACAGATCTATAAACAAGATGTTGACATAAACTACCGGATTGTTGTTCTTGAGGACAGGCTCTGGGGAGCCCTGCCACAGAAGAGAGCAGTGATTCTGGAGCGGCAGGCCTCTGACCTTTGACCTCTTTCTCCCCTTTAGGGTTCATCTTCACTGGGGAGATCACGCACCGCATGCTGACAGCAACACAGTACATCGCGCCTCTCATGGCCAACTTTGACCCCAGCTACTCCAGAAATTCCACAGTCCAGTACTGTGACAATGGTGAGGGTCCCATTGAAGGTCTCAGGTAGTTTCCTAGTGTTTGAGCGTCATATGTTTTATACGTGTGAATTGTGCCATTAGCCCTAATGTGGATTTTGATTCACATTAAGACTAACAGCTTCTGTCTAATGAGTATTAACTAGGACACAAATACCGGAGGATGCAAAACGATCTGAAATCAGAACGGGTCCAATATCTGTTCTTCACAGAAGGGATGATATTCTTCAGACACCAGATTTGTGAAGCCAGCCTCAGGTGGCAGACTTGGAGGCGCTGTTGCTGGATGATTCCCAAGTCTTTTTCAAGGGTTATGTCAACAGCGTCCTTCACATACGTGTTGTGACAATAAAAAATATTTTTGAGGCATTTGACTAAGCCTGCAGGTACCTGGCTGCTGTGTCGTGAATCAGGCGAGTGTGTTTATTTATTTGCCTTGCTGAAGTCTGGGCCATGGCCTGGTCTCGTGTGCTCTCTCTCAGGGAAGGTGTTTGTGGTCCAGTGGGATAAAGTACGTCTCCAGGGCAGAGAGACTGAGGGAGCCTTCACCTTCCAGGCGGCACTGCACAGCACGGGGGCCATCACCTTCAGCTACAAAGACGTGAGTCACTCGGGGTTACCGGGAAAACACCCTGACCAGCAGGAACCTCATACT